TGTTAACCCCCAGGAGAGGTTGCAGAAGTAGTGGGCTTGAAATGAAGAGAGCGGTAGGTGGCAGGGATGGTTGTTCAGCCATATTCTTTCCTCCCCTGTGTGCATTATTATGGAAGCAGCAGATTATTTCTTGCTGTGCTTTGTGATTTGATCAGAACAGGCTAGTGAGCCCATAGCATTTCTCCACCTAAACCCCCTGCCCATTATGTTGCTAATTTGCCATTAGTTCATTATGAAATGAAAGCAAGTGCTTCATAAAAATTTGTTGCAAGATAGCTTTTTGCTGTCTTTTAAGCCATTGCCCATGTTCACACTAAGGATATGGACCCATGCAAACAGGAGATCTTAAGCGCAGATAGAAGGGTCATGTCTAGAACTGTATCCTGCAGGCCTCCTGACTACACTGTGCATAGGATGCAAAAATGCAGGGAGCTCACCTTTGCTTTCTCTCCTCAGCTTATGTTATGCACAGCCGTCTGTTTCTTTCCTTGATATCTTTTGCAAGGAAAAGCAGAGGAAAAATAGCATTCATTATGACCTCTGTTTCCTTTTTTATCCTTTGTATCCTGCATTGTGAGCTTTTCTCTGGTCAACTGAGTTTCAAACTATGTACTTCTCAAGGAAGGCATTCCTTTATCTATGCCCAGGACATGTTTTTGTGGAACGTACAATCTGCTGTTTGATGCCCAAAACCCAACCAGAGAGGCAGTAGTACAGTAGTACTATCTGTCAGGCAGATCCATCCTCTCAGCATTGCATTTGTGAAGCTTCAGATACCCTTGGTCTATTTCTGTTTTTTAACTGATACTATTTTCCCCAAAAGAACTGTGTTTCTGAGCCATGAATCAAGCATTACGGTGGGGATTAACCCCTCCTTCAGCATTCAAGGAAAGTGATTTGTTCATTACCATCCACCATTCATGTCTTTTGCCTCCTGCCACATGGGGCGGAGGAGCAATGTGACTTGTACTTTGTCAAGTCAAAGAAGCGTGCACCAGTGAATGCACACATTTCACCTCTTCCACAAGTGTTTGTCAAAGGTCGGTCAGCCAAAAGGAGTGGTTGTCTCCATCCTGTTGGTCTACATGTGTCAAATATGCCTGGTTTGTTTTTACAGTTTTCGGTAAGAACTGCTTTCTGTTGAGTCTTCACAGGTTTTGTTAAATGGGTGGCTAACATGCTGCAGGTAAGTGCAGAGCCTTCTCATGCCCTACCTGATTTTCAGCACTTACACTGCCATGCTCATGGACTGAGCTAACTGGAAGCTGTCTCAGTCCCTCCAGATGACCCTGCTTCTGATGGAGCTTCTGCTCAGAGGCTGGGCTGATGCTCCCCAGCTCTCCACTGGGACTTCCTTATTTCTCAGTCAGTTGTTCACAACAGCTGCACTGGAGAGAACGTGATCTATTGTTGTAAAGGAGCAAGAGATGGATTGTTATAGAAAAGGATTTTTTTCTCATGCTGAAGGTCACTGAGTCCTTCTGTTCATCTCCCCTCTGAAGAGCACCCGGCAAGCTCTGACACAGAAAATTGAAACCACCACCATCAATCAGACATAATCTACTGGAGCATAAGCTTTTTGCAGCATCTGTGGAGCTGCCATTTGGAGTCACATTTTTGCTAGACAATATGTTGCTATTGAGACACTTGGCAGTCATCAGCAGAACAAGTCTAGCCATTTTTCTTGATTTCAGAGCTCCTCCTGCAGATAAGGGGCTTGTTTGGAGATATCCACAGCCCTACAGTCAGTTAAAAGGAGCTATTTGCCAGTAATCCAGAAGATGTTGTCCATTTACACATTACCAGTACACGCACATTCCCCTCAGTCCCCGGGCTCATGATACCGCAAAATTCAATTCAAGAAGTACAGGTAAGGTCTGAACCCACCTCTTCTACTGTAGAAGGCACAGTAGGCACAGCACCCCTGTACAGTCTGCTGGAAATCAGAGGTGTGCAGGATGTGTGCTTGGGCACGTGGATGTCTGGTTATGAATGTGCCTCTTGATGATGCATCTCAAAGAAAAAAGCAGCTGCT